CAGTCCTAAGCAAGAAGAGTAAAGCAGGAGGTATCACAATACTAGACCTTAAACTATACTACTGAGCAATCGTATAAAAAATGGCATGGTTGGGCTGAGATTTGGCTCAGTGGTTGAGCACTCAACTAGCATGGGTGGGACCCGGGTTCGATTCTCAGCATCACATAAAAAATAAATAAATAAAGGCATTGTGTTGTGTCCATCTACCAAAAAAAAAAAAAAAAAGATTCTCTCTCCCTCCCTCCCTCCCTCCCTCCCCCCTCTCTCCCCTCTCTCTTTAAAAAAAATGGCATGGGTATTGGTACCATAATAGACATGTAGACCACTGATACAAAATAGAAGATGCAGAGACAAGTCCATGTAAATACGGTTATCTTATACTAGACAAAGGCGCCAGAAACATACATTGGAGAAAAGATAACCTATTCAACAAATGGTACTAGGAAAACTGGAAATCCATATGTTGCAAAATGAAATTAAACCTCTATGTCTCACCCTGCCCCAAAATCAACTCAAAGTAGGTCAAAGACTTAGGCACTAGAACAGAGACCCTGCACCTAACAGAATAAAATGTAGGTCCAAATCTTCATCATGTTGGCTTAGGACCTGACTTCCTTAACAAGACTCCTAAAGTTCAAGATGTAAAATCAAGAATAAATAAATGGGATGGACTCAAACTAAAAAGCTTCTTCTTGGCARAGAAAACAATCAGTAATGTGACGAGAGCCTATAGAATGGGAAAAAATCTTTACCACATRCACCTCAGATAGAACACCAATCTCCAGCATATATAAAGAACTCAAAAAACTTAAGATACAAAAAACAAATAACCCAATCAATAAATGGGCTAAGGAACTAAACAAACACTTCACAGAAGAAGAAATATAATTGATCCACAAATATATGAAAAAATGTTCATCATTTCTATCAATTAGAGAAATACAAATCAAAACTACTCTAAGAGTTCATCTCACTCCAGTTGGAATGGCAATTATCAAGAATACAAGCAATAATAAGTGTTGGTGAGGCTGTGTGGGGAAAGGTACACTCATACATTGTGTTGGGACTGCAAATTGGTGCAGTCAATATGGAAAGCAGTATGGAGAAACCTCAGAAAACTTGGAATGGAACCACCATTTTAACCTAGCTATCCCACCCCTCAGTTTATACCCAAGGAACTTAAAAACAGCATACTACGGGGACACAGCCACATCAGTGTTTATAGCAGCTCAATTCACAATAGCTAACCTATGAAACCAACCTAGATTCCCTTCAACAGATGGAAGGGTATAGAAATTATGGTCCATATAAACAATGGAGTATTACTCAGCCTTAAAGACGAATGAAATCATGGCATTTGTAGGTAAATGGATGGAACTAGAGAATGTTGTGTTAAGTGAAATAAACCAATCCCCCCCAAAACAAATGCTTAATGTTTTCTCTGATAAGTGGATGCTGATCCATAGTGGGACAGGGTGGAGAAGGGAGGGAGGAATGAAGGCACTTTGTATTTTGGAGAGGGGAATGAGAGGAGGGGTCGGGCGGTGGGGATGGGAAGGATAGTGGAGTGAGAAGGCCATTTTTACCCTATCTATGTATGTATGATTGCACTACTGGTGTGACTCTGCACTGTGTACAGCCAGAGGAATGGGAAATTATGCTCCATCTGTGTACAATGTGTTGAGATGCATTCTGCTGTGACTGATTGGAATAAATTTTAAAARTTGGGAAAAAAATGAAAGGAGGGGCTTTGCCTGCTGTGCTCACTGCTGTAGCCACAACATCTAGATCAATCCTTGACATAGAACAGATGTCTATTAAGCATGTGAATGAATGAAAATACACGTTAGCTGAACACTACATTCATACTCTGGYTGTTGGTTACTACTTTTCCTCAGTATTCTTATAAAAAGGTAACTCTCCTCTGAATGACCAGGGAGATTTGTGCAGAAGAGGAGCATAGTATTGGGGCCAGACAGGAGGGTCAACAGAAGGGCTGGCATCTTGGGGGTCCCAGATTAATGACTGTCAGAGATTTATTGTTAACTGGCTGGGGCACTCTCATATGACCATTTAAAAAATTTTGCTTCATGGGTCTATAGTAATTCAGTYGAGTCATGATAATATAGATAGTGGAATTAATTTTTTAGGCTTGGATATAAATCATGTAGTAATTCTAAACTATTTTAGAGAAAAATTAACAGATAATACAAGGCTATATTTTTTGTACAAAAATTAGTCCATTATACCTCTCTGTATAGCTCTAAGACTATTATTCATATGTTGAAAAGAATATAATTTCAATTAAAGTGTACTAAGAATTTAACAATTGCTCTCATTATATTGAAAAAGAAGCCACATAGTAATTACAGGTGGAAATGCAGACACATTATGACCTGCTTTTGCAGCCCTTCTAGGAATGGTGTACCAACCCCCCCCCCAAAAAAAAAGGGAAATACAGAGAGTCAAAGCCTCTGGGTCTCAAAACTATGACTTTCTCACTCTCCACAAAATTACCTTGAAGTTTTGGGACCCCATTCTCCATTCTACCCCTGAAACTATAGGACTCGGGAGAGCTTGCTCAGTTTCCCTTTTACAAAGATGTAGATTGCCATCCTGCAGTTAGGCATTTCTCTCAGATTTGAGAGAGCTCATTCCCTAAACCCTGACAATTGGGCCTGAAAAATTTAGATCTGGTTCATCCTCATCTAGGTTTAAACTCCTCTTTAGGTCCTGTACAGGTGAGTAGTCCAAGAAGGCAAAGAAAAGCCTCTCCATTGTTGGGGTTTGGGATGGTCCAGAGACCTCCGAGTTAGAAAGGATGCACCTGGAGGATATTATCCCCTATACTCATCACCAGTGTTCAGTCCATACGTACCCCACGCCCCACAGGGAGCACACTTCCTCCCTAACCTCTGATTCCTAGTGCCACCACCTGAAGACATCATGGGAGACTGTCCCTTTGCTCTCCAAAAGTCTCTTTCAACACTGGGTCAGGTTTTAAAGAGGTCATAGAGCATGATTTTATATTGCACACAGTTTTATGGAATATAAAATGCCATGATAGTATTATTATATATTGTTTAAACTTTTGGAGGTGGGATAGAATGCTACACACAAAAAATGAATTTAGACAGAGCTGTCCAGGAGAACTTTTGCAGTGATTGAAATGATCTACATCTGTGCCTAGATGTCTGAGCCTTAAAGGACATCTACTACTTGGTATATAGGAAATTTAAAGTTGTGTTAAAGTGGATCTTGAATAAGGCCCTTAGGCTTCCACATGGCTAGTATCTTTCCTTGTCTCAGGATGGGGGGATCCTTTTGGAGAGGGACAGCAGACAGCTCTATACTTTAGCATCACATAGAAATGGTTTCCAAGGAAGTTATTAACTTTAAAACAGTTTGGCAGGGACTGGACTTTCAGAGGGAAAATCAGAAATGGTGAGTCTATCACAGCCTGTACCCACACTGGCCCACATCCTTCTGTGCACATCTGCTATCTTGGAAGATTGACACTGTTTTGGAAGGTTTACAGAGGCAAGCCTTTTCATGGGAGCTCCTACACTCTTGAGGAGTTCCTAGAGTGGCTTGGGTTTTGACATTAGAATAAATTCACTCCTTTAAAGTCACATAAATACTGACTTCAACCAATCCAACTGACAAAGGTAATTGCTCAAGTATCTTAGATGATGAAGCCACACAGGCACCACTCAGCTCAAGGGAATGGGGAAATTCAGTTCTGATATTAAGGAAACTTATGTAGTGAGAAACATGTCAAAAGGTGGAAATAAGTTGGGTGTGGTGGTGCACACCTATAATCCCAGGTACTTGGGAGGCTGAGGCAGAGGGATCGCAAGTTTCAGGCCAGCCTGGACAACTTAGCAAGACCCTCTCTCAAAAAATATTTTTAAAGGGCTGGGAGTGTAGCTCAGTGGTAGCAATGGTAGATCACCTAGGTTCAATTCCCCAGTGTTCAAAAAGAAGACATTGTAAACAAAAAGATGAAATGAAAAGGTCTCTCAGATTTGGACAATTAAGACATTAAAAAAGTCAGGTGAGGCACATACTGATACTGAGGACTTCTGGCTGAAGGATCAGAGTAAAAGAATTATTTGCTCAGATCCTAGAGTGATGCATTTGGCTTTATTATAACTTATGCCTTACACAGGAAAGGGCTAAGTGACTGAAGAGGATGTAGGCTTAGTTCACCATCTGACACCAAATATTATTGTGGCAATTTTTTATATACATGGTTTATATACATAGATAATAACAAACATATAAAAATCTATAAAGATGATTATGTTCTTAGGTTAGGCTCCTGTAAGGATGAACATTTACTACAGATAGAAAGGGAAAATTCCAAACAGAATCTTATTTTGGAATTTTAGTATTAATGGATGGCAGCTTCTTGGATCAAAGTCTTCATGTGATAGGAAATGCTGTGGGAAAATGACATCCAACCAGAGCCTAGCTATCCACTGCACTTCAGAACTTGCCCTGTTGTACAGAGTCTGTTTAAGGTTTGTGGTGGCTGCTAGTTGTTCTGGCCAAACCCATAGGTAAGCACCCAACCCTGTTCCTGATTCCCTCTTTGAATCTGCTGGGAACTGTCTCTCTGTGGAATGTGCTTCTGAACTCTTCAGTCAAAGACCCACTTCCCTAGCTTTTACTTTCTCTCCCCTTCCCAGTGTACCCACTGGGACAAATGCAAACAGGGACGTTTATGGACTTACTCCACTGATACTGTTTGGTGTCTAATGGGCCTCCAGGCCACCAAGTCTCTGAGGTATTCACAGATAGGAAGATCAAGAAGAGAGGCAATCCCCCATGTAATTGATGGGATATGCTGCTCACACCAGGTCCCTGAGTCTCTTTTCTGCACAGGAAAATAGCACAATTCCTCTGCTGGAGCACGTGTGAGCACAACTCACACCCAATGTGCACAACTGCAGACACAGTTAAGGCTCAGAAGCATTCAGAGAATGTGGCTGAGGTTAGAACCAGGTGGGGACAGAGCCTTTTCCCCCCTGGTAGACTCGCTCAGAGGGTTTCCAGGTAGACAGAAGGTCCAGGGAGAGGTTGCTCTGCTCTTGCTTGGATCTGACCTGGAGGTAGCCCAGCACATCCATAGTATCACCACAGACTTCCTGAAGCCGAGAAACCTTTTCATAAGGCAAGGACCAGCGCCAAGCCTGGGAAACGTTGAGGGCATTCCTGGCATTGGTGTGGAAGGCATGCTCTCCCATGCCCTTGCCCCGGGTGATGTTAACCACCCAGTTCTGGAGATGGGGCAAGAATTTCAACCCCACATATTCATACATCCGGGAAGTCTGAGCCAGTGGGGCCCGGACTAGGTCTTCATAGCGGATGAGCAAGTAGCGCTTCTGCAGATCTTTGGGCAAGAACTGGATGGCCTTGTATATGTCCAGCTGGCTTTTGCARATGATTTGCATCGTGTAGTACGGATGATCTTCCTTTTTGAGTTTCTGCCAATTCTGCCCCATCACAATATGACTGTCAATCATGAGTTCTGCTGTGGTGTGTTCTCGGGAACGGAACACAGCCCGCGGGTCCCGGACCAGGTGCACGATGTGCAGGTTGAGGGAAGGGTCTATCAGCAGCTGGTAGAGGGGCTGCAGGTTGAAGAAGCGCACCTCCTTGAGTACTACGTGGCTGTAGGAGCGGCAGGCCTTCTCCACCACGGTGAAGGGCTGTTTGTTGCACAGGGTCTTGCAGTGGGCGTGGAAGGTGATCTCCTCCCTGGGGAAGAAGTCACAGGCAGGTGGGGAACACAGTGCCCGGCTGTGCTCCCACTGGAAGAGACTGGACTGTTTGAGGGGACCAGGTTTCATGTAGGCATCAAAGACACTCATGTCACACAGAAAGACGGAACGCAGTAGATCCCGCACGGCCATGTGCAGACTCCAGGCAGTGCTGTCGGTGAAGGTCATCCACACGTGCCAGGCTGGCTCCATTAGGTAGAAGACATCTGGGTGCTGCCCAAAAAGCTGCCCCACGAAAGAAGAGCCAGAGCGCCAGGAAGTCAGGATCAGCACATGCACAGGCTTGGGCTCCTCCTTTCTAAACAGGGCGCCATGGTTATACATGTGGAAGAAGAGAGCAAAGACAGCCACCTGGGAAACCAGGAACAGCAGGAGCCTCATTTTTTTGAGCAATATCATTGTGCTGAAGAGGATGACCTTTAAGGAACAAGCAGAAGGGACTGAGTCACGCTGCTGTTTTGGTACCTGCCTTCCATTCTCTTTCTAGCCAAAGCCATCTTCTCCCTGACACCTTCCAAGAAGCAACGTGGAAAGCTAGAACATTTGTGCAACCAGTTGCACAAATTCCTGTCCTGACCAGTTTCTGTTCCTTGCAGTTAGTGTGTCGATAAGTTTTATATATTTTGGGGTCTTTAATTCCTCCTTCTGGTCTTTCTTGGGTTACCAAGAATTCCTGAACTCAGCCAAGTTTAATCAACTTAGGAGAATGACTGCAGCTGGCACCCTGGTGCTGTATGCCTTCACATAGGCCACAGAGGCAAAGCTTAATCTCAGTCTAACCCAAGTGTTGGTTGGATGCCTTGTGAGTCTCCTGAAGCTTAAGGAGAGGAGCCACCCAGCAAGGAACACCCTGAGGACATTTCTCAACCGACACCCCCAACTTGAGGGAGATTGCCTCAAGCTCTTTTGTCATCTCTCCCCCATTTTTCATTAAGCACAGGACTTTCCACTTTAGTTCCCTGAAAAATCGAGCTGTAGGTTATAAAACTGCTTGGCTTTAGAATTGTATCCTCAGCAGCAGAACCAAATGCCCATGATACCTGTCATCTGGTTCTCTCTGATTTCGTCTCATCTTATGGGATAAGGACATGGGGGAACTGATCCAATGATGACCTTGGTTCTGTATAGGTAATGAACAATCTGTCTATTTCAGTTGCATTGTTGGTCTCCTTACCAGCTGACTCTGAAAGTGTGCCAAGCAACACTCAGCTGTAATAGTGATCCTTATGGCCATTTTGTCACTGTGCTGCTGCTTGTGGAATGCTTGGCCACTCGACACAACCTATTCAGGGCTGCTCAGTATGGTCGGGCAGGGCAGATAGTGCCTTGCACGACCCTAGGGCATGCCATCTCATCAAGGATTTAGAAACTTATTATAAAAAGTTCTGTAGGTGATCGTAAAGTATCTTGGTCCAACAAGGTAAATATTATAAGATAGTTTTCCAGTTGCTAGATATAAAATATTTAAAGAAAGGATTTCCATTTTGCATCAAAAAAACATATAGACTGGGAGCAACCCTGATTCTTGTGACATTCAGGGGTTGCTTCATATGAAAAGACTGTGCCAGATTTTTTTCCTTTGGAGTTTTTAACTCTTTTCCACATGACCATAGATCATTTTGGGTAACTTCTTGATATAAATAACAATTGAGAGATAAAATAGCTATTATATATAATACAAATATTATTAGCAGCAAGTTGCTAATTAGCATAACCCTATATACCCAAGAAATTCTCCCTTTTAGTTTTTATATAGAAGAGAACCTATTTCTGGATAGTAACTGGAGTTAGATGTAGGGTTTGCTATTTTCCTGGTGATGAGTTTTATCACCAAGTTTTTAAAAAAGTGTTTGATTTTGTTTTTGTTTTTTGGGGTACTAGGGATTGAACTCAAGGGTACTCGATCACTGAGCCATATTCCCAGCCTTGTTTTGTATTTTATTTAGAGACAGGGTCTCCCTGAGTTTCTTAGTGCCTTCCTAAATTGCTGAGGCTGGCTTTGAACTCACAGTCCTCCTGCCTCAGCTTCCCGAGCCACTGGGATTACAGGTGAGCACCACTACATCCATCTCAAAAAAGGTTTTTGATAGGTAATTCTCACATGGTTCAAATTGTTTTGAAAAATATTATTCTCATGGATATTCCATAGACTCAGAATTTAAAACAGGGCATTCCTAAGATTCTGCATTCAGAGGAAAAGATAGGGAGTGCTTACCAGTCGGCAGCCTTGTCCGTCACACCCAGTCTTTAACACACAGGACAGAGAAGGGGAAATTTTTTTGACAAGCAGCTGTGTCTATAAGGGAAGTCTGTAGTCACATTTTAGAAAGCCTCTAGAACTACTTGTAAATAGGGATAATGATATCATTTTTAAAGGGTCACATCTTTTTTTTTCCCCTAAGGGAAAAAGAACAAGAATTTACTAGTTGCTGAACTGGTAACCTCTTCTCTGTTTACTAACAGCTAGTATTTATATAGCTTGTAGGATATGGTGAAAAATCTACCTCCAAAACCTGTCCCCCATCTGCCCATTTCTCAATTTGTCCCTAACATAGCAATTGGGTTTATTTTTTTATGTGTAATTTCTTTTGCTTTATGCATTCCCCCAATAATTCAAATGTATATATTTTCTTAATTTTTTCCCTCTTTAGAACACAAAAAATATGGGGCTGGGATTGTGGCTCAGTGGTAGAGTGCTTGCCTATCAGGTGTGAGGCCCTGGGTTTGATCCTCAGCACCACATATAAATAAATAAAATAAAAGTATTGTGTCCAACTACAACTAAAAAATAAATATAAAAATTATTTAAAAAAACACACAAAAAATAGTAAGTTATTCCCACTGTGATGCACATTTTTTTTTAACTTGTGAACATGTCTTGTGGGAAGCATTCCCTGGTAGTATATAAGGCATTTCCTCATTCCTTTTTACTACACAGATTCTATTATATGGATATACAATGACTTATTTAACTCGTTTTCTTATTGATGGGTTTTGGCTTGCTTTGCAGTCTTTTACCATTTCAGATGCCTCAGTAATGACCTTTATGTTCACACACCTTTGCACACGTAAACTAAATACCCTGAAGTGGAATTGGCAAGTCAAAGAGTATGTGCATGCTAAGTTTTGATATCTATTGCCCTGGCAGCCTTCATACTGCTCGCAAACCATTCTCTATGTCCAGAGCTCCAGAGATATTTGAGAATAGCTTTTAGAGGAGGAAGATGTGACTCCTAGAATTTATAGCTTGTTTCCTGAAGAGGTAGAGCTTACTTTGCCAGCTCATGGGCTTCCCTTGGAAGTCCCCTGGACCTTCTGGGAAATGGGTAATGATCCATGCCAGGCCTTGTGTGGCAGTGGCAGAAAATCCCCTTCTCTTCCATCCATCACAACAGTGCTCTTCCTCAGGATGTGCCAGAAGGATCCAGGGAGGATCTTCTTTCTTTTGTGGCCAAAACAAAAACAAAACTAGACAAATCCCCCTCCTAAAATAACCATGTTGCTCTCTGCCTGGGAAATGCCAATGGATGGTAATTCCTGCCTTGTAGACTTGGCCCTGTGGATTAGAAGAAGGCCAACTAAGTAGGCTCCTAGTTCTTAAACTTGAGTTCAAGAGGAAATGATTGGAAACTAGAAAGTTACTAATAATGGTCAAAGGATGCCCTCTCCATCCTCCACCCAAGACAGATGCATCTTGAACAAAGAGCTTCTGCTTAGGGTAACATGAGCAAGAGAAAACATTTGGAACAAAGAGAGGAAACCATGGAGCAAAAGAGAGAGGAWCCTAAGGAGAGAAGAACTTGACCTGTATGCAATTATAAGGAGACTGTTGGTAGAATTTTATACATAGAGCCTATAATCACTTTAGGAAAAAAGCTGATATTTCCTGGCGATTAGGAGAGCAGACACCTTTCAAAGTACGTCCTCCCTCCTTCCATCCCAGCTGTAGGCTGACTTTGTCCTGTGGGGCTCAATGGCCTTGTGCCTTCTTTGCCTGCCAGCTCTGCTCCTGGTCCCAAGCCCATTCCCTCTGCAAGCTGGAGCTTGACCTTCTAACTCTGTTAGAAGTTGTCCATAGTTCTCAAGAATTCCTACAGAAATCCTCTAACTTCTTTCTTTGATTTTACTCTCCATAAGCACTTTCCCTGGCCAGAAAGAACGTGCTTTTGTGAAGTGAGTCCCACTTTGGACAACACATGGTGGGGCTGCCCAGGCCACCAGGGAACACTCTAGGGTGTTCTGGCAAAGCTCATCTGCAGAGACTGTAATCAGCAGTGGAGGTGGATGCTTTGGAGCCCTGGCAGAGGTGAGGGGCTGTGGGTCACCAGTGTGCTTAGGGAGGCTCAGTGGAGAAAAGGAGACTCTTCAGTTGCCTCCTTGAATTGTACTCTCATTGCCAGAATTCCCAGCCTGCTCATCTCAAGCAGGGCCTTGGACAGTACCCTTCCTCTTCTGTCTCTCAGCTCTCTCCCATCATCCACTGCTGAGCTAAATTATATTTCTAAAACACAAGTGTATCACTCCCTGCTGAAAAATCCTCAATAACTTTTCAACATATATAGGGCTAAATCAAAGTCCCCAAATCTCTCACTCTGGGTCCTTCATGGCCTGATCTTTGATTTCCTGCCACTCCCCTTCTTTTTGGTACCTTAGAATCCAGACTCAACTTTAAATTCTTCCAAAACTTCCCTGTTATTTAGGAGTCCCGAGACCTTCAACTACAACTCTTCCAGAGTCAGCCGACCTTCTTCCTTTAAGAAAGTTTTTCCTCCTCTTTCCAAATGTCCCTCTAGCATCCATCCCACTCTAGAGGAATTAGCTGTATGAGAATGTCTCTTCCCACTGAACTGCAATAATTTAAGGGAAAGTCTGTCTTGTTTTTCTTACAGGTCCATAACAGTTTGGTGAGTGATGAGGATTCCTTAAACACTTTTCAAATGAATGAAGAAGTAAGTAGTAAGAAATCAGTAAGTAGTTGAGTGTGGGAGGAGATATCATCACTGTTAGAAGCAAATAACCCAACAAGCTCCTTCTTGAAACTTATCATTTTATAGAATGCATACAGACAATCTTTAGTATCAATGACTACATTGAGTACTAAAGCACATAACCAGTACTTACTCAGGTGTGGTATTAATAAAATCAGGTGCATAGTTTTGATTTGAAATGGCACACTAAAATATTTTCCTACACTGATCCTGTAGTAGTTAAAACTAAGAGGAAAAACAACATTAAATTATTTTTAGAAATTTTTATTAAAACGAAATAAAAGCCCCATTCAGGTGACAGGCTACCTTGTTCTAATCAGTTCAATTACTAGACAGACAAGGCAAAACAAACAACAAAACCCCCAAACTCAGCACATCCCATCACCCCAGAAATAATTTGAACTCGTATTG